AGCTATCATCATGTAATTATTATGACACTGTCCACACTTGTTTGATTCCATTAGTAGACTGTATCCTTCTGTACATGATCCACACATTCTGTGTCCTCTATTATCCACACATTGAGTATGAGTGTCATTCAACTTGAAGGTAACAGGATTAGGAGAACAATAGAGGAGACAGTCCTCATTGATAATGCATGCATTAGGATTGGTTGCATTAGCATTGAAAGGTGTAGTGGTATGATATGTTCCAATCCACAGTAGACCATTGTGTGTAATGTTTAGAGTATTTATATCACATGTGACATTCTCTCTTGAAACACTTTGACTGCAAGTACAGGAACCTTGTGACTTATCTAAGCTGAAACTAATGGGGCACTCATTAACAATTAAATTAAAATAAATAGTTTGGGCCAAGTACTGTGAAGAATAACTAAATCCTAAAGAAGTTTGATATCCTGCTTGAATCAGCTTTGGTGTGCATGTATTCAATTAGTGAACAAGTATTGGGAATATATGTTTGACTGTTGCTAGTGTTATAAATTAATGTACCATCTGTGGGAGTTTTTGATCCAAAGTAGTCATGACCAAACAAAGCCACATAAAACTTCAATGCTTGACCTGGAAAAATGCATTGAATACTTGCATTTATACAGTTTTCATAACTAGTTGTAGCATGAGGATCACAAAAACATATATCCATTGGATTGCCTGTTGAATCAATGTGTGGGTTTGTCAAATTGAACTGATAACTACCTGATGGTATATTGTCATGATTTCCATAAATATCACCACCAACCAGTCCAGCACTATTATTTATCAATGTAAGAGGTATATTTTGTGAATTTAATATTATAGGACAATTATTTTTAGCATAGATCCCTCCACCTTTATAAGAAGCACGATTATCAATAAACTCCAAGTTAGCTGATGATGTTAGCATCAATATTGACGAGTCATTTATTGCTAATCCTCCTCCAACTACTCCAGTATTGTTCTTGAATATTAAACTATTCTTAATTGTTACTAATGATGCTATAAGACTCAATCCTGTATAGGTACTGTTAGCAACAGTAACATTACTGAGACTAATAACATTACTGTTCATTATCTTATTTCCTCCATTTCCAATAAGTTCAGTGTCTATTATATCAATTTGAGTGAATCTCAAAAATGTCCCATCAATGAATAATCCTTCTTTTATATTGCCATATATCAAACATGATTTAATAATAATGTAGATAATAGTTTACTGCTTTTAGTAAATACTCGCCACTATTAATCTTCAATCCTTGTCTATTGTTATAAAATTGACTATTCTCAAGTATAAGAGTAGAAGTTAATTGAATACCAGGATATGTGCAATCACTTGATTTTGAATATCCAACAAACAAAACAGAAAAACCAGAAACATTATCATGAAAAGATGAGTTGATAATAAAAAAATTAAAAAGACCCCCCAATGAAAATTCAAGAATGTTAGCACAGCACTCAACTAGATCAAATATAATTGACACATTGTATGTAGTACTATGTTGGATATGTAGTGTCATTCCACTGCCAGTAGTAAAGTTAACACTAGTCAGTATCAATGAGTAATGGAGTAATTCACTGCTGCATATTGGAAGAGGATTATAATTAATAATGAATTCATAGCCAGTAAAGATAACTGATGATACCTTAAAATCAAAAACGTTATATGTGCTTGTGAAAGCCATTGTACCAGGGTCTGAAGCAAAGACAGAGTTAGTTATTGTAACATTGTAGGATGAATGAACTGTCACTGAACAATGAAATGATAAGTTGGAAATAGTGACATGATCACTGTAATATACTGAAATGGGAAATCCATTGATACTAGGAGACTGATCCAGTCCATGTAGAGTAACATTCTTTACTGAAGTCATGTTAACATTATATTCAATGTTAGTAGTTCCAATGAAGTAGAAGATGGTGCTATTGTATTGAGACATATCCCCAGCATACACTGATAAAGGATTACAAGGTGACTGAGTAACTGAACTGCAGTCATCAGACACATAATACTGACCAGAGGAGACACTGCAGGAGCTACTGAAGAATAAGAGAACAACCACTAACAGGAGAGACATAGCTACTGTCTGTACTGACTACTGACTGGTACAACTGACATATGAACTCAAATACAAGCAACTTGTATGGGCTACTCATCTTCCTCCAAATAAGGAAATCTGACACATCAAATTCATAATTGGATTTGCCCCGTATGTGGATACTATTACACGGCCAAGAATTATCATCTCGGATTACCAACTACCTTCAAGGGTAATATCAATGCAACAGAGGTTCATCGCAGGAAATGTCGTGCAGTCAACAAACACCCATCAGGAAGGAAGAGACCTAGAAAAGAAGATTTTGATGGTATGTGTACTTGTACATGTATTGCCTCAACACAATTCTTTTCATTTTCTGTGCCCAGATCAAGCTGAACATGTTGATTTTGACAGTGAAACAGCAAAGAAGGCAAGAAAGTTTACAACGACAGATAATTTTGAAGGTACAGTACATGTAACATTTCATTTTTATCTTTTTGATTTTGTGTACTACAGATGACAATACAGTGAGGAATGTTACAGATGGCACTACCATACAAACATGACAATTACAAAAGAAATGAGAATCAGTCTATGCATGAAAATGAAACATCTATTTCTGAAAATGTAATGCATGCTAGTAATCATATAATGTTATGATTGGCATATTAGGTTGATTTATTTGTGGATACCGCTTTGGCTACCAACAATCACACTCAAAGTCAAGAAGTATGATTTTATGTTATTTGGGATATTGTGAATCACTTTCTTATAGAATAGATTATCTGGCAGACTTAATGAAGGCAGCAACAATACCAAGGAACAGATAAAAACTGACTCTATTATTCATGAGGTAAGACAAGAGTACTAAATGTATCAACGGTGTTTATTAGCACTAAAAAATAATACACTTTATAAACTTGATTGTGAATAATTTCATAATTAATAATAAAGCACACTTCTACACTACTAATAACAATGAATGTACTAGTAATGCACAGTACATGTATTTATGCAATTCATTATTTTCACATTTCAAAATTCAAAATTGGAAATGTGGTGCTATGGTATGTAGCTATATGCATATCATGTATCACTCAGCAAACTGCAAGTAATTTTTATTCCATTATTCCACCTTATTTTAAGGCAAGTGATAACTCATCCAAGTCAGCAATGAAGAATGATACTGATACTAATGGTCAATGCAGTGCAGATGTAGTTCAAGCAGTAAGTAGCATGAATAGTAAATTGATAAGATTTACATGTTTCTAAGAACATGATCCTCTCCTATACGAAGGAGAGGATCATAAAGATTAAAGGATAAGGTAAAAGTGGGTATAAAAATGGAGAGGACAGAAAATGGAGAAGAGAAGAGGCCTGGGCATTTTGCAGGCATAATCTTCAGGCCTTACAAGAGGATGTGAGCCAATGAAGTTATATTTAGCTATACATGTGCATGGTACCAGGTTTCAATTGAGTGTGGCTATCATTAATAGCTGCCATTTTAAACCTATAGAAATAGAGAGAAGAGAGAAAGTACGGTGAGTTGTTAAATTAAAGGTGAAGGTGTAGATGAAGTGACAAAATAACCAGCATGCATTAGAACTGAAAAACACACTACAGTCAAGGGCCTACCTCTATAATCAGGACAGGTAGTATCAGTCCCAATACAATATAAATGTGTATTTAAAAACCTCTGAAATAAGGACACTTCTTTAATAAGGACAGTTGTATTGGGTCCCAAGGTGTCCGGAATAGACAGGTTTGACTGTAAACAAAAGTACATATCCATATTTATGCAACACAAGCCTTGCAAACAACATAAGCAAATAAATTATAGATAATACATGTATAGCCAGCAAAAATAATGATTTTTAAATTTACTCTAATTAAGTATATAATACATACCAGTACTGAACATACTGTAATCTATGCTTTAATGAGTTAAATCAAAGCCTGGTGCGCATTGAAAATAAAACACAGTATATATATAAAGCATTTCAGCTGCATCTATGCCTTTTACTTTTATAATAAAAACTTAGATAGATCTACTTACTTGATTTTATTTTAATATTATAATTTAGGGCTCAGCAGTCCAGCGACACTTTATTCTTCTCTTCCTTCACGTACTCCCAAGATGGAGTCACGTGATCTGCTTCCATTCCTGGCATAATAGTGGCATAATGGCATTCCGAGTGGCAGTGGACAGTGGAGAAATGGAAGCTGAAGATGATGACTGATTAGCCCTATTACTGATTAGGCCCTGGGTACTAAATGGAGAAAAACCAGGAGTAAGTTATATTAAACGAGACTAATTAAAATAATAATTTGAAATAAAAATTAAAAAATTTAAATTATGGCATACCGGGTACTTGATGTACATGTATATGCTGTTTACATCATAGCTATAAAAATACACCATAGTATCAATCCATCATGTAGATGTTTAGAATTAATCCTTTTATACATTTGTACATTCTCCTTTCTGGGCTTCTCTCTCTCTCTCTCTCTCTCTCTCTCTCTCTCTCTCTCTCTCTCCCTCTCCCTCTCCCTCTCTCTCTCTCTCTCTCTCTCTCTCTCCCTCCCTCCCTCCCTCCCTCCCTCCCTCTCTCTCTCTCTCTCTCTCTCTCTCTCTCTCTCTCCCTCTCTCTCTCTCTCTCCCTCTCTCTCTCTCTCTCTCCCTCTCTCTCTCTCTTTCTAAGGATCTCAAATGGTTGCGTTCTCTTCCTTTCTCTTTCTTTTATAGCATTCAGTATTGTAACAGTAGTTACAGTACGCACCTCCTCCTGCAATACTTTCAGTAGTGTGTTGTTGCCCAAATATTTCCATTCAATCTCAAAGACAAAGTACTAAATGTAACATACTTTTATTCAGAATGTCATAATAAAAGTTGGTCTGTAACAATTTATAATTTATATTATGTTGCCTCTAGTGGAGCCATATAAAGCTATTAATTTATTATGAGTAATCACTTATCAGTTTACACAATCACACAAAGTACAAAGAATTATGGCTCCATCATACTACCACATAATTATAGGTCAAGAAGACAATGGAAGCTTGACGTGTAGAAAATGTAAGGATGCAACTGAATGTATTGAATTCAAGACATACCTTTTTCTAAGTAAGAGAATAAAGAACATGTACATGTACTGTACATCATGCTGTAGTCTGTCTTAGATCAATGTTCATAACTTTGTTTTCTCTCTCTTTCTCAGGGCATTATTCATTAGGTTACGTACATCAGGTGCAATAATAAGATCAATTGGTGATGTACTCCAGGAGCACATACCAAAACTAACTCCTCACATTCGATGGTGTTCATGTCAACTAACAGCTTGTACATTACTTCAGAGTAAAAGTCTGGATCCTTCTTTTAGGGAGTATGAGCAGGCTTGTCTTAAGGACCCTCGTACAAAGGGACTTCCCCTTTCCTCTTTCCTCCTTAAGCCAATGCAACGTGTCACCAAGTACCCTCTACTAATTGGAAAAGTAATTTAATTTGTACATGTGTACATGTATGACACAAGCAAAAAATTTTGTACTGTATTGTACAAAATGGCAAAAAAGTACACACATGTACATGTACATGTATACATTGTACCTGTATACATGTAATTATGAAAATTAAAATAGATGTACATGTACATGTATTTGACCATGAAAGTTGCACATGTACTTTACATCATAATTTTTATTATACATATACATGTACATGGTACATTCATTTCTCTCTCTTTCCTCCATCAGATATTAGAGTATACTCCTAATACTGATCCAGACTATGAGTCATTATTAATGGCATTACAAGCATCAGAGACATTGTGTTCACAAGTTAATGATGGAGTGAGAGCTAAGGAAAACGCTGAATCACTTGAGTGGCTTCAATCTCATGTACACGTGGCATTAAATGAGGTACAGACCTGTGCATACATGTACATGTACAGTACGGTAATGTACATGTATTAGACAGGTGGGGCCATGTACAAAGGCTATAGCCCATGGTTTTTTCTAAAATGGCTCTAAAATTACCCCAAATTTTTATTACATTTTCTGATACATATTGATGTCCTTATACTGTGTAGAAGTTTGAGCTGATTCTGACAAATTTTTTTTGAGTTATGACCATTTTAAGAAATCGGCCAATTTTTAAAAAAATACCCAAGGCTATAGCCCATGCTTTTTTCCAAAAAATGGCTCCGAAATCACCCCAAATTTTTAAAGCATTTTTTGATACACATTGATTTCATTATGCCCATGCTTTTTTCCAAAAAATGGCTCTGAAATCACCCCAAATTTTTAAAGCATTTTTTGATACACATTGATTTCATTATGCTGTGTAGAAAGTTTGAGGTGATTCTGACGAATATTTTTCGAGTTATGACCATTTTAAGAAATCAGCCAGTTTTTAAACAATACCCAAGGCTATAGCCCATGCTTTTTTCCAAAAAATGGCTCCGAAATCATCCCAAAATTTTATTAAATTTTCTGATGCATATTGATGTCCTTATGCTGCGTAGAAAGTTTGAGCTGATTCTAACAAATATTTTTCAAGTTATGACCATTTTAAGAAATTGGCCAGTTTTAAAAAGATACCCAAGGCTATAGCCCATGGTTTTTTCCAAAAAAATGGCTCCAAAATCACTCCAAATTTTTATGGTATTTTCTGATACACATTGATGTCCTTATGCTGTATAGAAAGTTTGAGCTGATTCCGACAAATATTTTTTGAGTTATGGCAATTTTTACAACCTGGGGGCGTAGCCCCCAGGTCGTCCTATAATTGATTTCACCCACGTGCGATATATATATATTTGATTGTATGTCAACACTTCATTTCTTCTATACACGTTGTATTGGAGAAATAACAAGCCCTAGCAACCACCGCCCACGCTACGTAAGTGGGTGTGGTCACGACAAACAAAATGGCGGTTTGCACATGGAACAAAGTTATGAGCTTTCTAACAGCGAAAGAATATAGAGATACTGTCTAAAGTCTTTTCTGGAAGCATTAGAAGGTAGAGAAAACCTTCATAAGTCTTAATAAGAACCCAGCTGTACATGCAAGGTGGTGAAATCAATTATAGGAATATTTTTACACTGTTACGCTTGTTAAAAATTTGGCCAATTTATAAAAAATACTCAAGGCTATAATAGCCCATGCTTTGTTCCAAAAAATGGCTCCAAAATCACTCCAAATTTTTATGGTATTTTCTGATACATATTGATGTCCTTATGCTGTATAGAAAGCTTGAGCTGATTCTGACAAATATTTTTTGAGTTACAGTATGACCATTTTAAGAAATCAGCGAATTTTAAAAAAATACCCAAGGCTATAGCCCATGGTTTTTTCAAAAAAATGGCTCTGAAATCACCCCAAATTTTTATTAAATTTTCTGATACACATTGATGTCCTTATGCTGTATAGAAAGTTTGAGCTGATTCCAACAAATATTTTTCGAGTTATGACTATTTTAAAAATTTGGCTGATTTTGAAAAGTACCCAAGGCTATAGCCCATGGTTTTTACCAAAATGGCTCTGAAATCATTGTATGTACTTTATAATCATCGTATTGACTGTATTTACT